CATTGCTTAAAGTAAATGCCCTTGGATCCCTCTGTCCATGTGGACTGGATAGTTTGGATTTAGTTGACTCATTGAGGTAGGAAAGGACACACCTCAATGCAAGGAAATGTAACTTTGTAAATATAATTGGTAAGCAGGAAATTCTTTGAGTCACTGTGTCACTAAGATGTAATCCACTGGATGAGGGTATAGTATTTCTGGGTCCAATTGCCATATTGATTCCAGAGTAAAGATATCTCCCTCTCTTTCCCTCTTTCTCTGGTGACTCCTGCTTGGGGTCCCTGGGCAGTGTGTAGGCCTAAGTCTGAGACATGCTCAGTCCTTTCCTGTATTTTAGAAGCAGCTGCTGTTTGACTCTTGGTTTCCATCTTGTTGTGCAGCCCTGAGCATAAACACCAGGCACTCACCAGTCACCTCCTTGGGGTGGCAGGGCAGGGCTGACCCTGCTTCTCTCACTAAGGTAGGCGCTGAGGTCAGCACAGGGTAACAGGCCTGACCAGAGTCAGATCTTATAGAAGAGAGGTGGGAATGGCCTGCCTAGGAGCTTTCCTTATCTAGGGCCATTGGTCCCCCCAGGTCTGTGCCAACCTGGAGAATATTCTGCAGATGGCTTTAAACCTTGCCAGCTCTGTGCCCTGGGCACATTCCAGCCTGAAGCTGGCCGAACTTCTTGCTTCCCCTGTGGAGGAGGGCTCCCCACCAAACATCTGGGAGCAACTTCCTTCCAGGACTGTGAAACCAGAGGTGAGTACTTGCTTTCCCCTAGAATTGAATTTCCTTTTTAAGTACCCTGGGAGTCTGGTGAAGGTTCCATTGAACCCAGCCCAGGGGTTCCCCGTGAGGTGCTTAGTAACCAAAGGTTCAGTCCCTGTGCAGGAAGTGCTAGAACTCCCTGGACGGGGTCTCTCCACAGCCATCTTGGCTTCTTGGGACAGGGATGACCAGGGATGGATCAGAGAGACATGAGCAGGTTTTGAACATGGGCTCCCTTGGTTCCATCCTCCAGCCCTCTTCCACCTCAGTGCCCTGGCCTAGAGCTCCCCTACCCCAGAACAGGTCCTATCCCTTCTCCAGAACCCCACTTCCACTGTCTCTCCCCAGGGGACCAAGCCTCAGCCCAGCCTCAGTCTATATCCTTGAAACCCACAACCATTGTGCCTGAAGATGTCAGCTGCCACTGGTACCTGACTGCAAGAGCCACACACTCTCTGAAGACATGCACAGCTTGCTCCTTCATGTTTTCTCAGTGTCACGAGTCCCACCCAAACCCACTGTTTGAGTGTTCATTAGCCCCAGATTGATAGGAAAGCACTTCTTCATTTGGGCATAAAAACTTATTTCACAAACTTTGAAACCTTTCATGTTGCATTAATAAAAATACAGTCTTCTTGTTTTGATTTTCTTCACCCTCGTCCTCACAGTTCAGTGTTCACCTGGACATTTCTACAACACCACCACTCACCGATGTATTCGCTGCCCAGCGGGGACATACCAGCCCGAATTTGGAAAAAATAACTGTATTTCTTGTCCAGGAAACACTACAACGGACTTTGATGGCTCCACAAACATTACCCAATGTAAAAGTAGGTCTCTCTCTAAGGCTTCTGTGGTCCTGATCAAGAGGGAAAGTGTCTGGGTCCAGCCTTAGAGGAGGGTGGGGTAAAGTGGCCAGGGTTCCCAGGTTCATTCAGAACCTTGTCTGTTTTTAGCCCAGCTCACAGCTATGCAGATAAGTGCTGAGGGAAGGCGGGACTACAGTCTCCTCAGCTGTTAAAATGGAGATAATAGCTTTGACCTGGAGATACTCTCCTTGTTTTTGTATGTGAGGTGCTGGAGATTGAACCCTGACCCTTGTGCATGCTAAGCACACACTCTGCCACTAAGCTCCACCACGGCCCCTACTTACCTCTGCTGACCCTGGATGCTTCCCCAGGCACACTCACAGCTGGATTTGCCCTGATTCCCCCCAACCCAGGGCATAGTTTCAGTGGGTCCTGCCCAGCATGCACTGTTCAAGGGCTTGTTATGTGCCAGGCATCCTGCTGAATGAATCAGCTGGGCCAGCCCTGCCAGGAGCCAGGCTTCCTCTGTGTGTCTGCAGAGGAAGGAGCGACCCACTAGTCTGGAGAGATGAGGCAAGGTCTCTGGAGGGTATGGAAGGCTCTGATGGAGATAGTGGACAGAGCAGGAAAGAGCATCTTACTGAAGAGCCGCTGAGGAGAAGCACAGACCCAGGAAAGTGAAAGGCCTCTGGAAAGAGACCCCTGGGCCTGAGCACAGAAGAGTTGGCACACCAAGTGTGCCTAGCTAAGGAGCTTAACTTGTATTTCACAGCAATGAGGGGGCAGACATTTAAGGACTTGCTGCGTCAGGTTTTCCTCCTCCCTACCTTAATCATTACATAAAATTCTCTAGTAAAGGCCAAAAGTTAAGCTCAACTAATGTTGTATCTTTTTTTTAATATATTTTTTTAGTTGTAGGTGGACACATACTTTTGTTTTATTTTTATGTGATGCTGAGGATTAAACCCAGTGCCTCATATGTGCCAGGAGAGCGCTCTACCACTGAGCTACAGCCCCAGCCCCCTAGTGTTGTATCTTTAAGATAGCAATTGAGGGGAGCAAGGAGGACTCCCCAAAATAGAGTAATTTGGGATGGAGAAGGGCAGTGAAACATTTGAATTTTGGGGGTACCGAGGATTGAACTCAGGAGCACTCAGCCACCAGAGCCACATCCCCAGCCCTATTTTGTATTTTATTTAGAGACAGGGTCTCACTGAGTTGTTTAGCTCCTCACTTTTGCTGAGATTGGCTTTGAACTCACTATCCTCCCATCTCAGCCTCCCAAATCACTGGGATTACAAGTGTGCACCACCCCACCCAGCTGAAGTTCTTTTAACATCTTTATAAGCAGCCATCAAGGTTCCTCTTAAATACCTGCTGCCACAGGAAGCTCACTCTCTTTCATGATCTTCTAGCCTATTTTGTAAATGAGACTTTGGCAAAGTTCACAGAGTTAGGAAATTCCTCCTTATACCAACATAACTTTTTCCTTATCTTCCCACTCCCTGGCCTTTGTTGGCCCTTAGGACCATGTGACACAGTCCCTCAGGTAGCCCTTCAAGCCTGAAGGCTGTGTTTTTCCTAATAATGACAACTCTCTATTATAATTAGAGAAGAACGTAATCCCTTCTCTCTCTCTCTCTCTCTCTCTCTCTCTCTCTCTCTCTCTCT